AAAAAAAAAAAAAAGTTTTGAACATATGCCAGACCTGGTTATGGAGATAGGAAGGTAAGAAAGACATGGTTTCTGATCTCAGTGAAGGCTTGAGGAGACATTAAAAAACATATTAGTGGTCGGGAGCGGTGGCTCTTGCCTATAATCCTAGCATTCTGGGATGCCGAAGCAGGTGGGTTGCCTGTGCTAAAGAGTTCTGAGACTAGCCTGAGCAAGAGCAGGACCCCATCTCTAAAAAAATTAAAAAATAGCTGGGCGTTGTGGCAGGCACTTATGGTCCTAGCTACTGGGGAGACTGAGGCAAGGAGATCAGTTGAGCCCAAGAGTTTGAGGTTGCTGTGAGCTATGATGCCATATCACTCTACCGAGGGAGACAAAGTACGATTCTGTCTTGAAAAATACATATACATTAGCGCTGCAGTAAAGGAGAAACCTCAAGATAGAGGGCTGTGGACTGCTTACATGTTTTCCCAGTGTTAGCAGTCCCTGAAGAAGGAGCTTATGGTTTCAGCCTTCCAAATCCAGGATCTGGTCTGGATTTGTTCAGTGCACACATTAATCAGACTCAGACAATATGGGTGAATTGGAGGGTGACAATTTATTAATTTATAACCTAAGCTTAAATTATAAAATATAATTTTCCTGTGTTTGGGGTATTTGTGACCACTGTAAAAGTAATCCTCAGCTAGATGAGGTGGCTCATGCCTGTAATCCCGCACTCTGGGAGGCCGAGTTGGGCAGATTGCTTAAGCTCAGGAGTTCAAGACTAGCCTGAGCAAGAGCAAGACCCCATCTGTAAAAATAGCTGGGAGATGTGGCAGGCACCTGTAGTCTCAGCTACTTGGGAGGTTGAGACCAGAGAATCACTTGAGCCCAAGAGTTTGAGGTTGCTGGGGGCTATGATGCCATGGCACTCAACTGCAGGGTGACTAAGTGAGACTGTGTCTCAAAAAAAAAAAGTAATCCTCGTCTTGGTATCAAGATTCCTGAGAGACTGAATTTGAAATCAAGAGTTTGTTTGGTAAGCATGAAATCAAGGGAAAGAGCTTAAGGGAGTAAATCATGAAACCATGGAGTACCTTGATAAACCACTCATAAACCTAGGACAGCGTTGGCTTCTGTGAATCAGAATGGCCAGATCCATGTCTCTCTCCTTATGAATAAGCACTGCCAAAATCTTCCCTATTGTTTGCTCCAGAGAATGATTATAAATGTGAGCAACTGTGGTTCACACCTATAATCCTAGCACTTTGGGAGGCTGAGGCAAAAGGATCATTTGAACCCAGAAGCTCAAGACCAGCCTGGGTAACATCACAGTGATACCCTCTCGCTATAAAAAAATAAAAACATTATCCTGGCATGGTGGTGCATGACTGAAGTCCCAGCTACTTGGGAGGCTGAGGCAGGAGAATTGCATGAGCTCAGGAGGTGGAGGCTGCAGTGAGCTATGATGGCACCACTGCACTCTAGTCAGTGTGACAGAGCTAGGCCCTGTCATAGGAAAAAAAAATGTGAGCAACAGAGTATCTTGTTCTCACCAGTGGTAGTTATTACCACCACTGCTGTATTGATTGGAATTGAACACATCTAGAGACCCTATCCTCAGTCAAGTTACTTCTACTTGACATGATTGGCTAATGTCTTTCATCCCATGATTCTTGAGAAAAAGTAACAGGCCCTGAAATTGTGGGTGGGACTGGGCTGTATCTCAATGAACATGTTGATATCCCCTGAAGGATATCAAAGGTTATCTCCTTAAAACAAACACCCCCAAACAGAGGCCAAGCAGTGGCTTGTGCCTGTAACCATAGCACTCTGGGAGGCTGAGGCGGGTGGAGGCAGTGGATTGCTTGAGCTAACCAGTTCCAGACCAGCCTGAGAAAGGGCAAGACCCTGTCTCTAAAAATAACTGGGCGTCATGGAGGTGTGTCTGTAGTCCTAGCTACTCCAGAGGCTGAAGCAAGAGGATTACTTGAGCCACAAAGTTTGAGGTTGCTGTGAGCTATGACACCACAGCACATTGCTGAGGGTGACGAAGTGAGACTCTGTCTCAAAAAAAAAAAAAGTTTCTGACGCAGACTTGTTACAACCACTCTCTCCTTTTTGTACTCTGACCACACTTCCATCATATCCTTTAAAACTCTTTGATGTTATTTGGTAACTTGTCTGCCACCATAGTGGACGTCCTACTACTCCTAAGCTGTAAGCATCACTGGGACCCATACCAAGACTTTATGTGTTCTGATTTTTCACGCTTAACATAATGCCTACAACAAGGAGTTTAGTATCCACTAATTGAATGAAAGTAAGTTTTATAACTTGGTGAATGGGACGAGGGTCTCTAGTTAGAGTAAGAAAAGAAGCCATCAAAGTACTCTAAATTGAATAGTGAAGAGGTGAAATTTTTAGAAACTAACACAAGCACAGAGAATTGTCCAGGAGATGAGCTTGCTCTGGAGACGAAGAAAAGCCAAAAGTCTTGGTAACTGGGCTGTCGGATTCAAGTAAAGGTAGAATGAATGGAGGGCTAGAATCCAGGATCAACAAGGAGCCAAGTGGCCCTTGAGAGGGGAGCGGCAGGGGCCAGGACCGGTGACTCCACGGTTTCCCGGCAACCATAGCCCCGCCCACCGCCTCCCGTCTCAGCATTCCTCACTTCCTCACCCTGCGAGCTACACTCGGCCAATCGGCACACACAACATCGGTGGATCTGGCGGTAATTGGAGGGCTCCTGGGGTTCGTCACCCTGAGACTCCCGCCCCTGTTTCTTCCTGGCTGCCGGCTGCTGAGCTGAGCTGAGCGTTTGCGGGCTGCTGGGCTGGCTGTTATGGTAGGTGAGGAAGGGCAGGGGTACCCAGCGCTTGGAATTCCCCACTCTGCTCTGACCCCAGAATATCAGAGCGGCCTTGGGACCTGATTCGTTCCGCCCAGCCAGTCCTTGAGACCGTAGCGACTGAGGCTTGGGGTCTGGACAGGGTTTCCTGCGCAATTCTGGACGCCCTTGTGAGCGCGGGGACGCGGGGCTCCGGTGTGACCAAAGTTTTGGTTTGGGTGAGTTCAGAAGACTTCGGTTGGGGTTTCATTTTAGTCTCTGACATCGACTCACCTAGGGCCGCTGTGACATATCTGTCCCTTTTACTTCCGGGCCTTCGTGTTGGTGTGTTCTGTCTCCTGGAATTATTTACATCTTGCCTCAGGCAGCCTTCTTGATCTCTAAGGCCCCTCTTGAAAGAGTCACTCTATACAATAAGCCTAGATAGTTATTAAGGTCCCCAGGCTCTATGTGTGGCCTTCTCACCTATCCCTGCTTGGGCTGTTTTCAGTATACTGTATTTTCCAAACATGTAGAATAATATTGGGTAAAAGCATGGATTCTGGAGCAGCACAGGTCCGATTTAAAGTGCCCTTGAGTAAGTTGCCTTTCTGATCCTCAGTTTCTTCATCTGCAAAATGGTGAAAATACCTAACCTTTGGTGTTCCTGATTATTAAAACAAGAACATGAGGCATATAGCCCAGCTTCTACATAACAATGAGCACATGATCCTTGCATTATGACAGTATTCTCTGACAGATACTTTTCACCAAGCCGTGCTTTTACTATTTTCATACATGTGGAACTGTGAAAGACCTTTTGTCTATGTTCTGTGTCAGTAGAACATAGACAAAAGGTCTTTTTTAATTGGCTGAGGATATAAGGCTGTTGTGTTTTGGAGATCTTTGGAGAAAAGTGCAGGCATTGGGAACACATTGGGAACGTCCTAGAAATTCCATTATTTGTGGGCGTTGTGGGCTGGGCCAAATATACATAGCATAAAGTCGACCATTTTACCATTTTCCTGTGTATAGTTCAGTGGCATTCACAGTGTGGTTTAACAATAACCACCATCCATCACGAGAACTTTTTCATCTCTCCACCTGTTACCCATTGAACAATAACTCTCCATTTCCCCTCTCCCCATTTCTATTTTCTATATATAGGAATTTGACTGCTCTTTTACATATATACATTTTATATATATATATATATTTTTTAAGAGACAGAGTCTCAGTTTGTCACCCTTGGTAGAGTGCCGTGGCGTTACAGCTCACAGCAACCTCCAGCTCTTGGGCTTAGGTGATTCTCTTGCCTCAGCCTCCCGAGTAGCTGGGATTACAGGTGTCTGCCACAACACCCAGCTATCTTTTTGTTGCAGTTTGGCCAGGGCCAGGTTTGTGCTTCTGTGTCTGGCTTGTAGGAATTCCATTTTTAAAGACAAACTTCATTATGAAAACAACTTGAGTGCAGAACCAGAAGAGGAACCCAGTTGTCCTCCTGTCATCTTTTTTCTGTAACATATGAATCTGATAGAAAATGTTAAGTTTTTGTTTTGTTTTGAGACAGAACCTCAAGCTGTTGCCCAGGGTAGAATGCTGTAGCATCATAGCTCACAGCAACCTCCGACTTCTGGGCTCAAGCAATTCTCCTGCCTCTGCCTCCCAAGTAGCTGGGACTACAGGAACCTGCCACAATGCCTGGCTATTTTTTGGTTGCACCCATCATTGTCTGGCGAGCCCAGGCTAGATTCAAACCTGCCAGCTTAGGTGTATGTGGCTGGCACCTTAGCTGCTTGAGCCACAGGCACCAAGCCAAGAAAATGTTAAATTTTGTTATAAGAAACTTCTTTTTTTCTTTTCTTTTTTGCAGTTTTTGGCCAGAGCTGGGTTTGAACCCGCCACGTCTGGCATATGGGACCAGCACCCTACTCCTTTGAGCCACAGGTGCCTCCCTATAAGAAACTTCTTAAAAGCCTATTACCTTTCTTCAGTAGGTAAACCAATATCTGGGGACTGCATACTTTTACTGTATCCTTGAAGCTAGTCCTTACTCACTTGAGCTTCTGTTTTCTAGCTCAGATTCCAAATGAAAATGTTTGAGAGTGTTGATTCTACAACCACAAGATCTGGGGGGGATCTCTGGGCTGAAATATGTTCCTGTCTGCCAAATCCTGACCAGGAAGATGCTGCCAGCAATGCCTTCTCGGACTCGTTTGTGGATTCTTACCCTGGTGGTGAAGGCCAAAGGGAAGCAGCAGACTTTGCTGTCCAGCCGGCTATAAAGCCCTGGGCTCCCTTGCAGGATTCAGAAGTGTATTTAGCATCTCTAGGTAAGTTAGATGGCTCTTTCTCTCTCCTTTTTTTAATCAGAAGCTAGTGGTTTTAGGGAAGCTTGTTGAAGTATTGAAGTTCTATTACATCAGACTTGATTTCCTTTTTTTTTTTTTTTTTTTTTTTT